TAATCAGTGGAGGAAGGCTGAATACAAAGCAACAGTTTCTGGTCTTGTCAGAGAAACTAAAGCATAGTCACTTCTAAAAAAGTGAGTTATTTTTCTGTGACAAGAAAATTGTAGACTTGCTGAAAATGCCTCTTTTTTTCCCCACACAGATTTTTTCATAATTAATTTTTGTTTATTTTTTTTATTTTTTTGCCATGTAGGTTTCAGTACACTGATACAGTAAATTGTTTGAATCTCTGGTTAGATGATATGCTACAATTGTGGTGACTCATGGATCACCCCATTCGGGGTTTGAACCTACAACTTCTGGATTAACAGATAAGCCCATAACTGCTTAGCTGCACACTAAGTGAATAACAATGATTATATTGTTACAATGGCACCTGTCAAGGGATGGGATCTATTAGGCAGCAAGTGAACAGTCAGCTTTTTAATTTCATGTGTTGGAAGCAGGAAAAATGGCAAGCGAAAACATCTGAGTGACTTTGACAAGGGCCAAATAGTGATGACTAGATGACTGGGTCAGAGCATTTCCAGAACGGCGAGTTTTGTTAGGTTTTCTCGGGATGCAGCGGTTGGTACCTAGCAAAAGTGGTGAAAAGAAGGACAACCGGTGAACCGGTGTCAGGATTGTGGGCGCCCAAGGCTCACTGATGCACTCTGGTCCGATTACACAATAGAGCTACTGTAGCTCAAACTGCTGAAAAATTGGCAATGATAGAAAAGTGTCAAAGCACGCAATTTCATAGTTTGCTGTGTTTGGGGCTTTGTAACCGATGATGACTGCTGTCTACCCCTAAAAGCACCTACAATGGGCATGTGAGATTCAGAACTGGACCATGGAGCAATGGAAGAAGGTTGCCTGATCTTATGAATCACGTTTGCTTTTAGATCTGGTGGATGGATGAGTGTGCTTTGTTTATTTCAGGGAGAGATGGTAGCAGGATGCATTATGGGAGGAAAGCAAGCCAGTGGAGGAAGTGTAATGCTCTGGGCAATGCTCTTCTGGGAAACCTTGGGTTCAGGCATTCATGTGGACGTTACTTTGACATGTACTGTACCACTGATCTTTGCAGAACACATGTGATTGTTGCAGAACACATGATGGCAATGGAGTTCAAGCTTTATTCTCCAAATTCCCCAAATCTCAATCCGGTTGAGCATCTGTGGGATGTTCTGGACCAACATCCAATCCATGAAGGCCCCACCTTGCAACTTGCAGGACATTTTCAGAGGTCTTGTGGAGTCCATGCAAATGTTCAACAATGCAGCACTAAAACCAGCAAAGAACCCTTTTCTTATCACATTTTCATTGTGCTTTTTTTTTTGTTCTTGAGTCTTGAGTAGTACTTTGGAAATGTCAAAGTTTCCTGATCTTTCATTTTAGGAACTTCATGTCAAATGTTGCAATTGCAAGCACATAGCCTAGTTTTTTGTTCCCTGTCTCAGCTCTTGATTAGTTAATTTCCCTCACCCGCTCCCCGATGAGTTTCGTTTTGTCTTGTGCCAATTTCATTCTGTTGGTTACCTGTATGTCTGTTATGTGTTTCATCTCCAGGAGCAGAGAACCTTCAATTCTCGTTATTTTTTCTGCAATGTTTTTATACAGTGTGTCCTCCTTGTCTTTATTCTTACATGGCTGCTGCACATCATAACTATATATGGCCATATATTGCAACTTTATTTTAAGTTTAAGATGACAATACCTGTTATTAGTGTTTTACACTCTCATTTCATCAGCCTTTTTGCATTTGTAGCAAATATGTCATTCATGGTGAGGGCTTTAAATTCTGCAAACTCCTAAATTACACAATATATACACACTACCATTCAAAAGTTTAGGGTCGGTAAGATTCATGTTTTTGAAAGAGATCTCTTATGCTCACCAAGGCTCCTTTTGTTTGATCAAAAATGCAGTAAAAACAGTAAATTTATGAAACAGTACTCCAGTTTAAAATAACAATAGTTATAGTTGTCTATTTTGAAATATTTTAAAATGTAATTTATTCCTGTGCAAAGTTGAATTTTCAGCATCATTACTCCAGTCTTCAGAGTCACACGATCCTTCAGAAATCATTCTAATATGCTGCTTTGTTGCTTAAGAAACATTTCTTATTATCATCAATAGGGAAAACAGTTGCGCTGCTTAATATTTTTGTGAAAATATTTTTCATAATTTTTTGATAAATAGAAAGTTCATTTATTTAAATTAGAATCAAGCATTTATTTAAAATAGAACTCTTATAACAATAAAAATGGAAAATAAAAAAACACACTAGCTTTTCTAATCTTTTTGTATTCTATCTATTTGTTTTCTTTTTATTTATTATACAATTAACAAAAGCAAAAAAGGCCTCTAACACTAGCTTGCTCTACTCTTTTTCTATTCTATCTGTTTTCTTTTTATTTATTATATAATTTAAAAAAAAACTTGCTACGTGTACTGCGTTAAGCTTACTGAGACTTGTCATAGCACTTGCATATTATTGCTCTTTTTTTGATTTTGATTGCTTCCATTGTCCTCATTTGTAAGTCGCTTTGGATAAAAGCGTCTGCTAAATGACTAAATGTAAATGTAACACATGTCTTGAATGACAACTTTGATCAGTTGAATTTGACTTGTATGCAACTTATATTTAATATAAATTATATATCAAGACTTACATAAACCTATATAAAATATGCCTATATAAAAAATTTACAGTGGTGGCTAAAATTATTTACTTTTATTTATTTAATTTTTAGTGTTTTATTTTATTTATTTTAATGTTTAATTATTTATTAAACATTATTTTGGCCAGCACTGTATAACAATACAAATGACAAGTTTTAAACAACAAAATTAGAGTTTTTACAATTTCTATGAAATGTGAGTAATGTTTCCCATGCAAAGCTCGTCCCCGCAATCCTGGGGGTCTTTGCCAGAGCTTGATGTTGATAATTAATTTATCCCAAGTTGAGGTGTATTAAGCAAATTGGAGCAGTTAAGAATATAAATAGACTGAACAGAGTTGTTTTGTGAAATCTCTTGAAGGATAGTTCATTTGAAAGATAGACAGGAACTTTGAACCTTTCATAGTTTGTGAAAAGACGCCTTGCACAAAATGTTACACAGCGTTATGTTTTCATGTTTTTATGTCAATATGTTTTGGATGGAGGCCTGTACAATATTATGCCACTGATTTGGGTCCTTCAAATCAGCATATTTAATTCTGAATTCCCTGCAGCAACACTAGACTATATGTAGTTTTTTTGGGGAACTAGGGAACAAACGGCTATTTCTGTGAAAGGCTACTTCTGTAAAATCCCCTTTGGTTCTATTTGTAAGTAAATAAATAAGACAGTCAATAAAGGAATGCAAATAGATTTCTGTCTTAAGATTCTTTAGAGAATCAAATAAAATCCACTTGTTTGTTGTGCACTAAGGTTTGGATGGCAGCGTTCATTCTTATTCAAACAAACCACACTAACAGAGCATCTGTACCAGAGTTCGTTTTTTAATTGAATCAGACCTGTCAAGTGTAAACACCCTGAAAGGGATAGTTCACCCAAAAATGCAAATTTTTTCATCATTTACTCACCCTTATTTTGTTCCAAACCTGTGTAAGTTTCTTTCTTTTCTAAAAGTTTTTCAAAAAATTTTGAAGAAACGAACAAGTGTTGGTCCCCATTGACTTCCATAGTAGGGAAAGAAAAACTATGGGGTCAATGGGGACACTCATTGTTTGATTACCAGCATTCCTCAAAATATCTTCTATGTTCAACACAAGAAAGAAACTCATACAGGTTTGGAACGACATGAGGGTGAGTAAATGTTGACACAATTTTCTGAACTATTCCTTTAAATTCTAAAAAAAAAAAAAAAAACGATTCTTCTGATTCGTAGTGGATTAATCCCTTTGTGGTCATTTCCAAAATATGAAATTCCATTAGCACCTTTAAATTAAAAAAAAAAAAAAAAAAACGATTCTTCTGATTCGTAGTGGATTAATCCCTTTGTGGTCATTTCCAAAATATGAAATTCCATTAGCGTTCCTTCAGTATTTTGCAATGCGAGTACAGCAGACGAGATAAAACCATAATACAGGGATTTATTCCCTCTATGGCTGAATTGACACGATTTAGTTTGAAAAAGCTTGTAAATATTGACAGATGCTTACAGTGTCACAGCTGTGCTCGACTGCAGACTGCGTCTGGTGCAGTTAGGGTGCCATTGTGTTTTTGCCTCATGGACTCTGTGATGGGAATCTGTTCAGACAGACGGAAAAAGCACCCAGCGCACTTCTGTCACGATGAGGAATGACTGCACACATTTGAACAAGCCTGAATTCATGTTGCGCCCAGAGAAAAACAACACCTTTAACTCAAACCCACCTGCGCCTGTGATCTCCACAACATCACCGTCATCAATCTGTCTCAACGCAGTCCCAAAACTACCTCTGTTTCACTCCTGTAAACATGTGGTGGCATGCAGTTTCCAGTGTGTTTGCCAGAAATATAGAGATGTCTTTAATGATGCTCAAAAACTAATTCACCATAAAAAATAAAAAAACTGATTGGAATATGAATTAGTGTTATTATCTGTAATTGTCTCTCTGTAAGTGAGGTCTGGTGACCCTGAACGAAGAGGCACAGAGCTCTGACGTGCTATAGCACATAGCTTTTCAGTGTTAATGCATCGGTTACATCATGTGAACGCTTTGGCTTCATAATGGATGTGATTGCCTAGATTCTAGATTTTAAGAAAGAAACTTAGTCTATTATTTTAAGTTTAATGTTTGGAGAGCACAATAACAGTGAGGAAAAAGATGGACGCGGTGCTGCCAAGCCAGCCTCTGCAAAAAATATCCCAAACCTTGTCTTTACACTTTTCACTGTTTATGTATAACATTGACTTCTCAAATTTAATGAATAATGAAGACTAAAGTGTGTGATGTTGAGAGCTCCGGTTAGAGGTGTGATCAATAAGGCAGGAGTGAAATAAAGACTTTAAAATAATTTATTTCAAAAGACATCTACATTGATTGACAGCTTAATATGATAGCTATATAAAATATTTACATGAAGCACCACTCGCCAAAACGGCACAATTGCCCGTCTAAGAAGCACACTACAGAGTGACGCAAAACAACGACAACATAACAGCCATCAGATGTGTTGATTTGGGATGTAGAAGCTTTGTATGCTGGACTCCACTAGACACGTGCAGCTCACTGGTACATTATTGGTGCTTGTGTGCAGATTGAGGCAGATTACAGTTGGTCAGTGTCACCTCACACTAAGACAGACAGCAGCTGGTCTCTTTGAAAACTCCTCTCTGTGGATTGAGAAGGCAATTAGAGATCAAGCATTTAATCATCGTTCACAGACATAATGACAAAACCTGACTGATGGTGATACGACCATCGTGCTGTCATTTCAACAACTACATGAGGGACTGAAGTTTGGCTGTTCTCTGGTAATATGGTAAATCATTTAAATGTTTAAATGCAACTCAGTGTTGGGTTATTAAATAAATGTGATTAATTATTTGATTATTAAACAAACTTTGTTTTTGGCCAAACTAAAACTTTAGTTTCAGTGTTTTGGTATAAAACTAATCTTGTTGCATCACTATTAACAAGATGACAATTGTGCAAATATCATGCAGTGTTTATTCAAATTCACATTTTAAAGAGAAAATCAGCAAAACAGTAAAAGTTCACATGCATGCTTCTGGAATCATCTTTTCTTTCATCTGAAATAATAAGACATGCAAACCCAGGCCAGTTCAATAGCACCCCCCCCACAAAATTAAAATGTTCTGACAGTCTAAGTAAAAAGCAGCAAGCAATAAAAAGTACCAAAAATAATTATAATTAATAGTTTCTTGTTTATTTAACAGTCTCTCTGTAAATACTGCAATGTTATTGCATTCCCAGATGTTACCGCTCACCCACAATGTGTCATATGTTGATACTTAATAATATTTACTTAAAAAAATAAAATAAAATACAGACCATTTTATAGTGCCCGGCACCCAAAAAGTTTAGACATAAACAGATGCCACTAGGGCTAGGTACCTAGAGGAGGTCCTGTTAGCATAGTATGCTACTGACTGCTAAGGTTTCTGGCTACCTGTTGTCTCTGCTGCTGTCGCCTGTATTCTTCTTCACTAGCAGCGAGAGCCTGTGCTAAGGCCAGATCCTCCTGCTCCTGAGGGCTGAAATGCACAGAGTTAGTTAGATTTCAGATTTAAATATTACAGTAAAAAAATCAGATTAAAAAAAAGTAACATTTTGTTGAACATTTACGGCAAAAATATTCAAAGGCATTTGCATCTAGCCACAATCTTGCAGATATTCCAGAACCATTGAAAGAACCACGTGTCATGTCTTCTATTTTCCAGTGCTTTTTTTTTTTTAAATGGAACACTTTCAATACTAAATGAAAAAATAACTTTAAAATCTGCTGGTTTATTATTAGGGCAGAAGAAGAGGTCGGAAATACCTTAGGGTAGGCTGGCTTGCCCGAGCAGATTCAGCTAGTGACATTTCTAATGCTCTCTGGAGGGCCTGTTCCTCCGTCTGTGAAATAAAACACAATTTATGGTTTAAATATAGTCATGAGTAGATTCAAAATACACTGTCAACCTTTAAACTATCTCAAAACGAACAACGCACCAGCCCGACTTGAAATGACGCTGATGGGGGAATTACATTCTGCGCTGTTGGAGACACCATCGGAGAAGTATTTATCCTTTGTGCACTGAGGAGCAACAGAGAGTAATAAGTACCTGAGAAAACACTCAAATATACATATGAAGAGTTCAGATGCAAAAGCCTCTAAGTACATCTGATGTTTTTCTTTAAAATTAGCATTTCTTTCTGGCTACTATATATAGGTTTCTATGTAAGTACTGGTACTTCTGAATGGGTTGAGGCTGGGATTTAGCACATTTGAAGTGAAAGTACTTGATGAACATATACTATGTGTGGAGAGCAATCACTCAGTGTTGTTATCTCATTTTTGACCAAGATGGCTTTTAGAGGCTTTTGCATTGGAACTCTTCATATATACTAATATATATATATATATATATATACACACACACACACACACACACACTACAATTCAAAAGTTTGGGATCAGTAAGATTTTTTTTAATCAAATGAATATTTTTATTAAGACATGATGCATTAATTTAATCAGAGGTAACAGTAAAGACATTTGCAATGTTACAAAAGACCTCTGTTTAAAATAAATGCTTTTCTTTGAACTTTCTATTCAAAGAATCATGAAAAAAGTATCATCTTGTATGCAGTAGCTGCACAACCTTTCAATATTAGCAATAATAAATGTTGGCGGTGTTACAATGATTAGAATGATTTCTGAAGGATCATGTGACACTGAAGAGCGGAGTAACGATGCTGAAAATTCAGCTTTGCCATCACAGGAATAAACAACATTTTAAAATATAAAAGTTATTTTAAATTGTAATAATATTTCACAATTTTACAGTTTTTAATGTATTTTTGATTAAATAAATACATCCTTGGTATGAGTACGAGACATTAAAAGTCATACTGACCTCAAACTTCTGACTGTTAGTGTACAATCACATAACACTTCTGAGGGCACTGCTTTTTCAAAATGTACTTACCTACTGCTCTGAGGTCTAATGCGTCCAGTTACTCCATTAGACACGGTCCTAGAGCTCCCCCTAGTGGATGATGCCGCAGAGTTACTGGAAGAGGAGGCTTGAGCTTTCATTAAAGCAGCATGCCTGCAAAACAAACCCCACCATTACTAGTGTCCTCCAGAAAACGTTACTTAGCAGTATGAAAACTAAACGACTGTACTAACCCTGATTTGGAGACTGGCTTGCCGTCAGTCTTACAGTCATGGTCGAGTTGATGTCTATGTTTGAGACAGTAGTTCAAGTGGCACTGGTCACATGTCACCCGGATCATTTCCTTCTGCTTACAGCCGCCCTTGGAGCATTTATTTGTAAAGATCTGTGGGGTGAGAAACAATTGAGTCGTTATTCATTATAAAAACGTATAGTTCCGGTCCTTGATTCTGATTGGTTGAGCCGCGTTCGAAGCTGTTGTAAATTACACTACAAACATACACCTTTGTTTACGTCTGTGTGTTGCTCGGCAACCACTTTGTTGGAACCGCAACCTTTTCTGAGGAACTACATTTTTTGGTGGAACAATAATGTTTTTATTAATATCATTACATTTTATTTGCTTTGTTTTATTTTGCGAAACCTTGCTACATATATGGAATACCCGTTTTATAAAAGCAATAAGCCCCGTGAAGCCGTGGTTTACAGTGAATTTATAACAGCTATTATAACATATAACAGCTGTTTGGTAAATTCACTGTAAACCACGGCTTCACAGGGCTTATTGCTTTATTTTACAGAGACATCATTTTCTATCTCCTTCCTTTTTGTGGCCGGCCTACCTTTCGTTTCCTCTGAGCAGGGTCAGATTTGCAGTCCCTGTCTATATGTTCCCCAACTTTGATGTCTGGCATTTCCTCTCTTCTAATGGGAATGGGGGTGTTGCACAACGGACATACAGGAACCTGGATATCCTGCACAAGGAAACAAACACATGTCAGCCACAACCGGTGTGTTTTAAGCATTGGTTAAAATATACAACAGGACAAGATTATTATTCATTAGACACAATCATACCCACCTTCTTGTATGATGAAGTGCACTTGTGATTTGCATAAGTTATGTGGTCTTTGCAGAAAATGTCTTCACAGGCATCACATTTCATGGGAAGGAAATCTGTAGTAAGACAGTGAAAAATAAACAAAGTTATTTATCAACTAATGCTGAATCACTACGAGCACAGCAGCTTTAAAAAAAAAAAAAAAACAGCTTAGTGACCTATAGGTTTTTCAGATGCTGATGGCTGTTATAAATAATTTACTCACTAAACCTTATACACTAAATGTTGAAATCGCACAACAGAAATCGGGGTATAATTTTCAGACTGTTTTTAATCTCAGATTGAACAAATAGGTCTGTTGCAAAATGAATTGAGACCTGGGTTGCATTTCCCAAAAGCATCGTAAGCTTAAGTAGATCGTAGACCCATTGAAACCAATAGGCAAACGATGCTTTTGGGAAACGCAGCCCTGGCTGACACATTAGTCCCATGACTAGTTTGTATGGTTATATTTACAAAAAAAAACAGGAAATGCCACACCTAATGAGTTTTAATGCATTTGCCATTCACCATGATCAGGCGGAGGTAATGTGTATACACAAACATGAATAATTCACAGGCTGTACAGGGCTTAACAATAAGGATGGCTAATGGTGGAAAAAGTGAGAGCGACTTAGGTCATAGCCTAGAAGCATTATTTTAAACAGGTTGGAAATGGTCAACAAATCACTACATTTTCAGCATCAAGTCTATTGAAAGTTTTTATCACATGCTGTCCTTGATTCTGATTGGTCAATCACAGCACCTGTGAAAATGGCAGATGCCCAGGGCTACACTGTATAACTGACCGCTCATCCAGAAAAACTTCATATTCCTTCTTATTTAATTATTTATTTAATTGGCAGCTGTGTAATGAGCAGGATAGTGCTGTATTATCAGCCAGACTGGTTTATTTTGATAAAAGGACAAGCAGTTCACCATACATTATTATTATTATTATCTCTATTTTTTTTTTTTACATATCTGTCTTGGAGTTACATTATAGCTATAATTTCGACTACTAATGCAAAAGTAAAAGGTAATATATAATTGTTTTTGTAAAATAAGTTTTGGAAAAATAAATATTAGATGACATATTTTGTCCTGGCATATACAAATGTACATTAGCATTCAAAAGTTGGTTGGTTTTGAAAGAAAAACACTAAAAAACATTTTATGCTCACTACGGCTGCATTCATTTGATCAAAAAATACAGTAAAAACAGTTATATGGTTAAGTATTATTACAATTTAAAATAACTTTTGGTAACACTTTATTTTAAGGTGTCCTTCTTACACGTTACATGTACTTACTATCATAATAACAATAAATTGTGCATAATTACATGCAGGTAACCCTAACCCTAACCATAGAGTAAGTACATGCGGTTAATTAATATTACTCAGTACTTAAATGTATAATTACACTGTAATAAGGACACCTTAAAATAAAGTGTAACCTAACTTTTACATTTGAATATACTTTCAAATATAATTTATTCCTGTGATGCAAAGCTTTCAGCATCATTACTCCAGTCTTCAGTGTCTCATGATCCTTCAGAAATAATTCTAATATGCTGATTTCTATTTATCTGCTTAATATTTTTGTGGAAACCAAGATACATTTTTTTCCCCCCAGGATTCTTAATGTTAAAAAAAAAAAACAGAAATAGAAATCTCTTGTAACATTATAAAATGTCTTTATGGTCACTTATGATTAATTTGATTTGTTATGCCCAAATAAAAGTATTAATTTCTTTCAAAATAAACAAATAACTAAATAAACGAAATAAATCTGAAACCCCCCCCAAACTTTTACACAGTAGTATATATTGTTAAAACAATCTTTATAGAGGCCACTGAAAATGTTGACGAGCAAAGTAAAAATCTGAACTAAGTCTGACCAAGCCAATAGAAAAACAACTTTGCTCTTGAGCCCTGCTATATGGGACAGTGCTTAATCAGACAGTACATACTGTACCTACCGAGACGTTTGCAGCTCTTCTCTGAGCAGTGCTCCCCGAGATCTGGAAACTCCATGGTACAATGGTGAAAGAGCTCAGCTGCTGGACTGTGAACAGAAATCAGAGCATCACCTCTGAGCGACGGAGCGGCCTGGTGTCATATCAATCAAACAAGCTGCCAACACAAACATCAGGAATCCACCCAATGAGTAAAACACGCTTTAAATGCGGAAGGCCTGTCAAGAGAGTGCCATTACGTAACTGTTGTGTATCTGGACGCGGTTTCACCAGTAATGATGGACCACACAGAATAATACAGGAACATCTCAATAACACAGCGAACATTACTTGGTTGTTATAAACGCTAATGTTAGGGAGAGCAAACGATAAACGATCTCTAGGTTGTCATTTAAATGCGATACAATAAACTTGACAATGCGCTAACGTTATTTAATAAAAGACCCATCCAAAAGAGGTTAAATAAAACGCCCGTTAATGAATTAAGCTAAAATAGAACGATTTAAAAAACAACTATATAGAAACCAGGAATGACTAGTTCTCGTTTGTTTTGCGTTATGAACGAACATTTTAACCGAGGTATTTTAACTGACAAAACAGTAAATGTGTATCTTACCGAAATTGTGCGCAAATCCTCTAGTATTGGTCCCACCTCGGATAGATTTCTAACGCTTTTCGCTTCGAACAGGCACAGCCGCTGTGTTTGGGGTTTTGTAGTGGTCTGCTGTTTTTTGAGATGTCATCGCTGGAGGTGTGAATCTGGCGACAGGAGACTGTTTTCAAAATAAAAGTACTCGAGGTTTATACATTGTATTCAGCAGTCTATGGCAGGGTGTCCCACAGCGGCAAGCGGAACGTTATCACGTAAGTTTTATGCATTTTATAGACCTTTATTGATGTTGCCATTCGGGCAGAAAGTAGGGATCAGAATTCATAAAAACACTGCAATGCTGTTGTTACATAGCAATGTTAAATGCAATATATTCACCTCATTGTTTTTCATTAGCGACCTGTGGTAATTTGCCATCCTGATTTTAAATAGAAAATGAATGCATCGATGGGTATTTGTTTCTCTTAAATACTAATGGACATAAAATAATCCACAGTTAGGTAAATCTAGTGTGGACTACGTGCAAATCAACCTACACTACACTGAGCTGTGGTCTATTCTGAATACAAAGTATGTATACAAACGGTGTGCGTGTCACTGACAGGAGCATGTACCACTATGGCTATGCTAACCAGCCAAATATTTGAAATGTGCCATATGTCCTTCTGCAGAGAGTATATAGAAAATAAAGTAGTATAGAGTTCACTGCAGATGGCCTTCTGCAGAGAGTATATAGAAAATAAAGTAGTATAGAGTTCACTGCAGATGGCCTTCTGCAGAGAGTATATAGAAAATAAAGTAGTATAGAGTTCACTGCAGATGGCCTTCTGCAGAGAGTATATAGAAAATAAAGTAGTATAGAGTTCACTGCAGATGGCCATCATAATAGCTGTTCTGTGTGCATATAAGATCCCAACCAAAGGAACACAATTCTTATCTTTA